TTAATGTGAGGAATTTAAATTATATCTTATGCAAAACAGCCCTGACAAATGATAGTAAACAAAGTTCTTTCTCATGCAGACCCTTTCTTCTAGTTGCTTCAGTCATAACTTGCATCAGAAACTAGTCCTAGACTACCTATGACACTCCAGTCAATTATTATAACTTACTGCGTGGCGTGGCTTGCATACTAACATAAGTGCATCAATAAAAAGCATTCACTGAACCATAGTATAATAAATGTTAATGTTACTTCGGTTAATGATTTTAGCATTAGTGCTTAGGTGTGTTGTTCAGTAGTGTTGTCTTGGTCCACTTGTTCGGAAGTGTTGTCTTGGTCCACTTGTTCAGTAGTGTTGTCTTGGTCCACTTGTTCAGTAGTGTTGTCTTGGTCCACTTGTTCAGTAGTGTTGTTTTAGTCCACTTGTTCAGTAGTGTTGTCTTGGTTCACTTGTTCAGTAGTGTTGTCTTAGTCCACTTGTTCAGTAGTGTTGTCTTGGTCCACTTGTTCAGTAGTGTTGTCTTAGTTCACTTGTTCAGTACTGTTGTCTTGGTTCACTTGTTCAGTAGTGTTGTCTTAGTCCACTTGTTCAGTAGTGTTGTCTTGGTTCACTTGTTCAGCAGTGTTGTCTTAGTCCACTTGTTCAGTAGTGTTGTCTTGTTCCACTTGTTTAGTAGTGTTGTCTTAGTCCACTTGTTCAGTAGTGTTGTCTTGGTTCACTTGTTCAATAGTGTTGTCTTGGTCCACTTGTTCAGTAGTGTTGTCTTGGTCCACTTGTTCAGTAGTGTTGTCTTGGTCCACTTGTTCAGTAGTGTTGTCTTGGTCCACTTGTTCAGTAGTGTTGTCTTGGTCCACTTGTTCAGTAGTGTTGTCTTGGTCCACTTGTTCAGTAGTGTTGTCTTGGTCCACTTGTTCAGTAGTGTTGGTACAGTTTTTTTTAATAGTGCGTTTACTAAATCCTGTCATTCAGTAGTGTTTTCTCTTAGTCTTGCTGTTTAAAAGTGAGCTTTATTAGTTCTCTCTTTCAGTAGTACGTTGTTTTATTGTTCAGTAGTGTGCTTGCTTAGTTCTCTCTGTCAGTAGTGTGTTGTCTTAGTCATTCAGTAGCATAATATCAGTGTTGTCGTTCAGTAGTTCCCGGAGACAACAGATCAACACTGGAGGCACAATACCCAGGAACTTCAAATTACTTCCCACACTGCTTCGTCTCTTCCTGCAAATTTTACAATCTCTTCCGCTATCTCCCTCTCTCTCTCTTTCTTATGTCTTCTGTATTTCATCTTGTTTTTTCGCCCATCATCTCCTGTTCCTCTCCCTCACGCGCTTCCCCACAGCAATTTCCTGGCCCGTCCCCTAACACCACCTTCACCTAATCAACCCATTTCAATCATCACCCTACCAGCACTCCCACGTTGCCTTGCCCCTCCTTTCACCTACAACACCTACACCACTGCCTACAGGCCCTCACCTCCTTCACCTAGTCCATGTCCATTACCAGCTATTCCCCAACATTCACCTGGCCCTATCCTTAAACTTTAAAATAGTATTAGAGGATATGTTTAGTACTGTGATTAATAGCCCACCATGATCATCCAGTGTTTTGTGTCAAGCTGTGAAGATCATCCAGTGTTACGTGTCAAGCTGTAAGGATCATCCAGTGTTGTGTGTTAAGCGGTTAGGATTACCAACAGACCAATGTCACTCATGTCAGTTAGGATTAACAACAGACCAATGTCACTCATGTCAGTTAGGATTAACAACAGACCAATGTCACTCATGTCAGTTAGGATTAACAACAGACCAATGTCACTCTTGTCAGTTAGGATTAACAAGAGACCAATGTCACTCTTGTCAGTTAGGATTAACAACAGATCAATGTCACTCTTGTCAGTTAGGATTAACAACAGACCAATGTCACTCTTGTCAGTTAGGATTAACAACAGATCAATCACCTGTCCATTAGGATTAACAACAGACAATGTCACTCTTGTCAGTTAGGATTAACAACAATCATAGTCACTCTTGTAAGTTAGGATTAACAACGACCAATGTCACTTTGCATTAGGATTAACTACAGACAATGTCACACTGTCAGTTAGGATTAACAACAGATCAATGTCACTCTTGTCAGTTAGGATTAACAACAGACCAATGTCACTCTTGTCAGTTATGATTAACAACCCCTGTCCATCATGACTAACAACAGGCCAGTGTAACTCTTGTCAGTTAGTGGCATACATCTATAGACAGTGCTGTATGACCCTTGTGGGGTTAACGCTTAGTTATGATTATAATAATAATAACTTCTTTAAACAATAATTTCACAATAATTGCCAATAATTTTTTATACTATTCGCTGTCGTTAATGTGGCTTCAGAAAAGATAACTCTTCAGCTGACCTTCTGGTGCACTACTTCACTAGTTATGGTAGGAATCCAGTTTCTGTAGTGTTATGGCAGCGGATTTCGTCGGTGTCTTTTGACTGGGTATAGCAGCAAGGAGTCTTGGCAAGGCTCTGCAAGCATAATGAGTTTCTGACTCCATGTTACACCTCTTTAGTGACTATCACCGTGGTGCGTCTCATAGAAGTTTCTTCTGAAGGGGGAGGTGTGTCACTCATTCGGTGTCAGTGTACCATAGGGAAATGTACTTCGTCCATTAAGGGCTTAAATGAACTGTCTCCTGGCGCTTTTGACTAGTATAGGCTGAGCGCATTTTGTGACTAGTAATGATGCTCATATGAACTATTTCACTTTATCCCTGTACTCTATCATTTACTCAAGCAAGAGAGGAAAGGCCAGCTGCACTCATGTACATCATAATGAGGTATAAGGAAAATCTTTCCTTGAATATGATCAAATTTCTTGGATTGCTTGTGTATCCCGTTCTCCTTCCCTTCTCATGGATGATTTCTGGACAGTGTAGCGAATCGTTGAAGGACCGGGACCCAGCCTGGTTATATCTGTCTTTTAAGCAGAATCTTCGACACCCAAGTAACTTAAGAGGTCTTACTGTTATGAATAAAGGCAATGTTATCAAGGTCTCATACTTCGCTCGACTTCGTGGATATCGATAAGACAACCAATATACAGTATGACAGACGGCAATGAACAACTATATTCTGGCTTAGTTCTCCATGAATATCAGTTTATCATCAGTCATTAATTACTCGAATGACTCGAGACCGGAACATTTTTTTCACAACATACGATTATTATTAAATTACAATTAACTGACCATATGAAATCTCTGGCCCACAGCTGGTTTCAATCTCATCCTGTTCCCTACTCGTATGTTTCCTGATAATAAAGATTAATAAAGATATTACTAAGGAAAGGCTTTCAAATGATCTGATGTCAAAAAATGCAGGACCTCCAACATAACCCTGTAAAATTCTCTTCATTTTCCAGGTCATCATGGTTGATTAATTGGCTTTAAAGCCTATTGACACACGAGGGTCATTAAAGCTGCATGTCATCTTGACTCACGAAATCGTAATGACACGATTGCAAACAAACCATACCACGGGTGGGGCTTGAACCCGCGGTCAGTTTTGAGACTCTCTGACCGCGGGTTCAAACCCCACCCGTGGTATGGTTTGCATGTCATCTGTTCACCATTAATCGAAAATACTTTATTCCCAAACACAAGCGTATTGGGATTAAAGTAAACTCGAAGTGTACACAGACTGGCATACAGTATATTGCACTTGTACATAGACTGTTGCTCTCAGTACACACAAGGCAAGAGAGCTATACTCATGAGAAAAGTATTAATGGTAACTAATAATAATTGTAATAATAAGTTATAATTAACAATAATGCTTAATTCATATTTTTATGCAATTGTACAAGAAGACAAATATTTTCATGTCAAGCTGCATAAGAACCATTACAGAAGTTCATCTTCATCGTCCGTCGTCTGGTTTACGACATAAATGTTCAATATACAATATTGTGACACATCTCCTTGAACACAGTGAATGGAGGCGGCATTTACCTCACTAACATCCAAATCAGAGAGCAGTTGACGCTCTCTGAGAGCAATCAGCTCTTTGATGAGTTCAGCCTTGCAAATTTTTTCTGAGTCACTATATGAGTTAGAAATTTTGTCTTTAACTATGCAAATTACTTGCCAAGAAAGCTGAGTGTTAAATTATACATCTTTAAGATGATGATAGGATGTTTTTAAAACAATTAACTGCGGTAATCATATGCTGAATGAAGAATTTATGAATGATCCTGAATGTGTAATTAAGTTCTTCATTTCAGTAAGACGGCAAATTATTGTAAATGAAAAGGCGATTATCCAGCATGGGAATGACACCATGTAAGCGTCTAGCATTTCATCAATGCTCAGAACATTGCTTTGAAATCCAAGTGAAGGGATCATTGATCTTACGAATTAGAGATATCCTCCCATTTCTAGGATCAAACCTAGTTGCCTCCAATTTCCCAGGCACTATATAGCTTCCCTATGAATTTAAGAATAATAAATCAAGTTCCCGTTGGTTGGATACCATACCTCGCAGCCTCACAAATCAGTACAATGACTGCTGAAGAAACTTTTGATCATGTATAACGGTAATATACCTTTATAATTTCATTGGTCCTCAAGTTTATATCATAAACTGTGTGACTTAAATACAGAAGCAATGAACGGTCATTAGAGTCTTTTTGAATAGTATCTCTAATTCGACTGACTTCATTAGTTAAGACAACAGGTAGAATGTATTTGAGCGAATTAAAAATTTTTGAATATTAATCCCTTGTTCTCCAGCCCAAAATGTCAGAAACTTCTGTGAAAAAGGTGTTTTATCCTCTAACCTTTTAAGCACGATGACTGATAAGGAAAGATCAAAAGCTAATGATATTGAACTCTGGAGGTATTGTCACAACGCCGTCTTCACCAGAGACTGGCGGTTTCAACACGAAAATTACCCACAAGATAGCACAGGGGCTAAAGTTATCCACAAAAACAGTATACACACCTCTGATTAACATGACTCCTCCTCTCCTTACCACAATGAACTCATCTGTGGTGAAAGCCAAGAGACAGTTGGCTAAGCCAGTGCATCGTGTGGGTCCCAGTGAGCAGTGGGCTTAACCCAAAACTTTTCGGTGAGGATTTTTTCCTTTGTCATGGAAAAATGCATTTTTTCATGAGCTGCCTTAGTACTGTAAGAGTACAAGTGGTTGGCAGTGGAATGAAAGCAGTAATGAGCCTTTGCCAGTGTGCCAAAAATGTTATTTAGGAAGAATTTGCCCCAGAGTACAAGAGCCCTGAACACTGAAGCGAATTATTATTTATTATTATTATTATTATTATTATTATTATTATTATTATTATTATTATTATTAATAGTAGTAGTAGTATAAACAAATAGGCACTAAACCCTCGCAGATCACACAACGCTGCGGTGGTTCGTATGTATAAATTTAGTTAGGACTAGTGGAGTTAGGGATAAGAATAAGTGAAAAATAAATAACATAATTTGTGTAAAAAGTCAGTTTCCACTAGAAATTCAAAGAGAGTGTTTTTAAAAGATGGAACTTTCGGTGAGAAGGACAGTGAGGATGGGCGCTTCTGGGAGTTGTAGTTGCCAGGAGTTTCCCACGTCTCGTACCATCAAAATGGCACACCTGAAAATGGTATGTAAATATTACTCTACATACGACACAGTTGGAAATATGATAGAGACTTATCTGTGGTTTAAATGTGAGAAATTAATTGTGTTTTTGTCGAAGCCAGAGCAGAGCTGAGGGATATATTTATGCGTTTAGGTGACTATTATGTGAGTTGTCCTCAGTTTAAGGTTAGCTTTACCAAATTCTGTTTCTGGATATGGATGTCAAAAATGCTGATATGGCCTTAATCGGCTCATGGATCAGAGAAGCGAAGCGATTTCAAGGTCGAGATCATTATAAAACAATACGGAAAGGAGGGGGGATAGTTTCTGCGAGAGATTGGTAAATCATGAGTGGATAAACTAGGTTAGGTTAGGTAAGGTTTGTCAGGAAACAGGGCAAGTATTGAGTGTACATTTTGTTACACTGGACATCAGTGTATACCGAGACCCGGCAAACAACAATTTTTCTTTACTGAAAACTCAGTTTAATCATTGTTACACATGAGTACCATGGGATGTGGGAGAGTCAAATTTCTGGACAGCTTGTAATGCACTTTTGGGAGTGTGAAGTAACAAAGGCAGAAGTGGGCAAGGTTGCAACATGTGTGACAGTGGCAAATATTGCGCATGCAGTGCGACTGTGATAATGCCAGGAGACTCTATCTGGGCTACACCCTCTGCTACCTGTGGGGAGTTGCAGCCATCTGTGTACACTGCTGTAGACCGCCGGTGTACACTGATGTAGACCATCAGTGTACACTACTGTAGACCATCAGTGTACACTACTGTAGACCACAGGGTATACTACTATAGACCATCAGTGTTCACTGTTGTAAGCCATCAGTGTACACTGCTGTAGACCATCAGTGTACACTGCTGTAGACCATCAGTGTACATTGCTGTAGACCATCAGTGTACACTGTTGTAGACCATCAGTGTACGCTGCTGTAGACCGTCGGTGTACACTGTTGTAGACCGTCGGTGTACACTGCTGTAGACCGCCGGTGTACACTGCTGTAGACCGCCGGTGTGCACTGCTGTAGACCGCCGGTGTACACGCGAGGATTGTGGGACGTTATAAACTGGGTCGTCGATTAAATAAATTTTAAATAACTAATATCATTTGTTATTCTGTATGTAAGACGATCGTTGAGAACATGGAAGCGCACAGAATAACAGAGGCAACAGTGGGATCACGATGACGTTGTAAGGAAGGAATGTTAACCACTGTAACGGAGGCAACAATGGGATCACGATGATGTTGTAAGGAAGGAATGTTAGTCACTGTAACGGAGGCAACAATGGGATCACGATGATGTTGTAAGGAAGGAATGTAAGCCACTGTAACGGATGTAACAATGGGATCACGATGATTTTATAAGGAAGGAATGTAAGCCACTGTAACGGAGGTAACAATGGGATTACGATGATGTTATAAGGAAGAAATGTAAGCCACTGTAACGGAGGCAACAATGGGATCACGATGATGTTGTAAAGAAGGAATGTTAGCCACTGTAACGAAGGCAACAACGGGATCACGATGATGCTCTAAGGAAGGAATGTTAACCACTGTAACGGAGTGGTCCTCATAAGCTGGCTTAGACAAGGTGAGGGGTGAGTGACCTCTAATAAAGGTTTTTGTCTATCAGTTACCCACGAAAAATAGGCTAAAATTTTAAGTAGATTCAGCCGGCTAAAACAGCCACCCTTTAGGAAGGTGATGAGAGATTTTCACAACATTCGATATTCAAAGAGAGGAGAAAGAATTTAACCGTATCACGTATTGGCACCGAGAAGGCACACAGGTGCACGATGGGCTTTGGGATGATAGGCTGTCGCTTGAAGGTTATAGTGTGGTTTTAGCAATTATGTGGAGTAGCCCAGGTGATAGTACGGTAGCATATTAAAGATACCCACATGCTGCACAAGTGTCTCATTCTTCAAGACTGATAGTATATTGAAGAATATTCGCTACAAGTAGACAGTCCGGGCATGTGCAAGAAATGGCGAAGTCGTCAACATACAAGGATGAACAGATACCCGTGGAAGGAACTGAGGCATAACCGTTAATAGAATCAGAAACGGGGTAGCATTTCTGAGGCATCCTTGCAGTACATCTTCTGTTGGTATGAAGGAGAGGAAAAAGCTGTTATTTGGACGAACACTTAAAACTCTGATAAGAATTTTTTAAACAAAAGTGTTGGTTTGCCTCATAGGCTTAAAGAATTGGCTTTGGATAATATGCTGTAATGCCAGGTAGTATCGTATGTTTAATCCAGATATCTTAATGGTTATCCTCAAAGGCATTTCAAATATACACATCGAGGTGTGACAAGTGATCCATGGGAGAATGGTCTTTACGGTTAGGCTAGGTAAGGTTTGTCAGGAAACAGGACAAGTGTTGCCTAACGCGGGTCATAGTTATATGATAACTAGCAGCTGGAGTTTTTGGTTATTTGACCAAGGCCTTCCGCTGGCTTACCGGTCCACCCCTTTAAAAATTATGGTCATAAATATAACCATTGCGTTTACTAAAACCAAACTGGTAAGAGAAGAGACAGTTTTGGGTCTCTATATACCACATGAAACATTTGTTAACTAGTAGCTCTAACATTTAGTGCTGGTAAGCGATGGGTCACTAATGCGAAGTGTCTTGGTCCAAGGTAACCGCTTCCGGAAAAGGAAGGATTTTTGCATGTTGCCACTGCAGGGGTAATGCACCTTTGGACCACATCAGGTTGGAAAGATGTAATAGAAAGACTATTGCTGTCTGGTGTAAGAGTGAGATTACAAGGACATAAATATTGTCGGGCCCTACTGCTGTGTGCTGACACTCACATAATATCGATATAAGTTCGCGAAGCGTGAAAGGAATATTATAAGGTTCGTCAGTATGAGATGTGAAGCCAAATGGGACGGAATGAACGAGGTGGATAAACGCTGAAAAATAATGTCTAAATGCTTTAAAGATGGTAAGGATGGTGTCTGCCTGTTTGAATAACGTGATCTGTGGGTGCTCTCACTCTCTCTCTCTCTCTCTCTCTCTTTTAAATATAAATTGTTCTGTGGTTGTATCGGTAGCAACCCCACGCACCACGTTTCAGACGAATTTCAGGAGTTCAGTCTGGAAACCATCAAAGGACGCATTTCTTTAGTTTTCCCGACGACCTGGGATGGCGAGAGTACCTGATTTCAGCATGGAGGCTATGAAGTGATGCAATAAGTCATCTGTAGGAGAATCAGGAGGGGTGGTATGCCATTTATAGTGTTCAATTTGAACGTTCAAATTGTCATCGAGATAAGCGAGAGGAGGAGGGCGAATGTAAGAGCTGGAGGTAAAGAGACTAACGAAGTGATCAGTGTTGTAAAGATAATTTATTACAGTCCAGAGAGATGAATCTATGAGCGAGAGTGAGCGCATTTGGGGATGTAGATGTGTTGGGTCACCAGTGTTCAAGATTTGGAGAGGAAGAGAGACAAGACAAGACTAGCTTCCCGCCGATGCTGGGTCACCTTACCGTGGTCGCACGGTTCGAGCGGCCTAGCCTAAGAACCCAGCACCCTATTCATTCCCCCTTCCCCATCCTTTGGCTTAAATACCGGGGATTGTTTCCCCATTCGTCTATATTTGCTCTCGTTTCTGGCTGATAAAGTGAAAAGACTTATGTACATGGATTACGGACTGTGAAAAATGTTGATCTTAGGACATTGTAACTCTTATCAGAGCATTCTATCCCTACACCCGTAACTGGAGGAATGTAAAACATTCTGAGTGCACTGCATATATCTGGTGACATACTGTGACGATTTAAATGATACCATTGTTTCAGTTACTTAGTTTATTAGTTTATAGATTTGCTAAATAAATGCATTATCAATGTTGCAGTTCCGTTGCTAGATCCTTGGGCACTTCTAAACTATATTTATTATACAGATGTCTAGATTTTTCATTTAAATGGACATATTACAAGATATGTCCACGATAATTTTCATTCCAGCTCTTACGATGATTTGTCTCGCTGTGAGGTGTGCAATAAGGCAGTCTAGAAGAACAAAAAAATTAGTCTTGAAAAGATTTATTCAACGTAAAGAATTATGCCACGTTTTTGCTATTTGTTTTGCCTACAAATCTCTTCTTACCCTGTCATCTCTTATGTAACATTAAAATTGTTGTACCAAAGTTTTCAGCCACGTATAAGTTCTGTCGAGCACCTTAACTACTGGGAACGCTTGGAAGCACTTGACTTGTACTCCTTGGAACGCAGGAGGGAGAGATATATCATAATCTACACTTGGAAAATCCTGGAAGGAATGGTCCCAAATCTGCACACAGAAATCACTCCCTACGAAAGTAAAAGACTGGGCAGGCGATGCAAAATGTCCCCAATAAAAAGTAGGGGCGCCATTGGTACACTAAGGGAAAACACCATAAGTGTCCGGGGCCCAAGACTGTTCAACAG